TCGGAAGAGAGCGCTAATTAACGATGTCTTTCCAGCACCAGTTCTTCCAACAACTCCCACTTTTTCCTTAGGCTTGATGACGAAATTAATATTATTTAAAACGTAAGCACTTTTAGGGCCATATTTTAATTTGACGTTTCTGAATTCAACCAAACCCTTTGTGGGCCATTCGTTTGGTGGTTTCTTCTCTGGTATACTATCCAAAAAAGGTTCTTCTTCAAGACGGCTGTATTCTAAGACTCTTTCGATAGAGGTCATGTCATTTTCTAATTCAGCAGTTTGTCTCATACCCCATTGTAAAATTCCAACAATGGCAGTGATTTGTGTAATTACTAGACCAATATCTCCAGCAACAGCGAGATTATCGAATATGAGAAATATAACTGTGATAATTGCTACATAAATCAAACAAAATACTTCAATGTAAAAACCGAAAGCTCGTGAAGTAGAGATGAATATAAACCAGGTAGAAGTGTGAAGATCCTGATGATCATCGAAGTTTGTAGTTACTATTTTCTCAGCTTTAAATGCTCTGATAGTCGTTAAACCTTGCAAAGTTGCACCCAAGTGATCGAACACTGGTGATCGGGCTAAAAGATATCGTTATTAATTTTTATAAAGCTTTTATAAAGCTCTCGTGATATGAAATGCTTTTTCAATCATTTATAATATAATTACTTACTTATGCCCTCCATACGTTTAATAGCACGGCTAGTTGAAATGTATACAACTCGCATATAGTAGAAAAGGATTATAACGACAATCGTTGGTATTAGCAGCCACGCACTTACTGTAACAACAATCACTATTGTTCCCACAAAATTTAAGAACATTATGGCAACGTCGAACATGGTAAAAGCCAGTTTTTTATCAATAGTACCGATATCCTTAGAAAATCTTGGAATAGAAACAAAATTAGTTATGTTAATTGTGTAAACAAAATAATTGAATATTAAAATGTAAATTTATACCTGTTCAATATTCGACCAGCAGGATTTGTGTTGTAAAAGTACATCACAGCACGTACGATACTACGAAACATATGCGCGTGTAAATTTTTTGAAGATCGCATGCAAACTCCATAGTACGTGAACGCTTGAATCACATATATACAAACGGTGCCCATGGTCAGACCACTATAAAGATAAATAATTGCATCACGAGACAGTGGACTAAACCATTGAAAATCCAGTGTACCATTATCGTTTGTAATCGACATCACTTCTGTATTTACCCAAAACGCGAGCAAATAATCGCTACCACTAGCCATCATTTGAAACAATATGAATAGAGTCACCATCAGAAAAACCAGAAAAATATTTTTGCTTGCCTTCCAGTAAGCGAAGAAAACCTTATAAGAAAGTTTTCCCTTCGTTCTTGTTTCCAATATTTCGACAGGTTCTTGTGCTGCGATTGGATCCTCCTCTTTCTTCGTTTCCTCCATAGTTTGCCGCTTTTTGATCATAATTTCAGCCTCAGTAGATTCTGATTTATCCTCGATCTCTTGAAAAATTTTCATAAGATCCAAGTTCATACTTTGCAACTCCTCAAAATTACCCTTTGCTTGAACACTGCCGTTGTTCATCACGATTATCTGATCGGCAGCTTTTAAGTATTGTACTTGATGAGTGACTAGGATTCGAGTTTTACCTTTAAGAAAACCACATATACATTCATCTACAATGCGACTACCGACATGTGTGTCGACCGCTGATAAAGGATCGTCCAGAAGATAAATATCAGCGTCAATATAGAGTGCCCGTGCTAGATTAATTCTAGCTCGTTGACCACCGCTTAAATTGATTCCCCTTTCTCCAACCATGGTTCTGTCTTTATGTGTAAACGAATCCACATCGCGTTTCAATTGACAAACACGAATCACTTCGTTGTAATGAGTTTCATTCATTGGTTGGCCAAAAAGAATATTTTGTCTCATGGAGGAAGCAAACAACCATGGTCGTTGATCAGCGAAACTTATTTTTCCACTGGTTTCTAATATTCCATCTTGTAATGACAATTCACGAAGCATTGCTTGCAATAAACTGCTTTTTCCTGAGCCTATCTGACCAATAATAGCTATAAAACTACCAGCTCGTACTGTTAAATCGATATTGTTTAAGGTGTAATCTCTGGATTCATCCCATCTGGCAGTGACGTTTTTTAAGTAAATGGGAATAGATGGTGTCGCTACTTGATTCGGAATTTTTTGTGGTGGAGAGACTTCGGGATGCATCATGAATTTTTCGAGACGTTTTATAGACACCAATGCTTCTGCTAATTGGTGAACACCTGCATAATTTAAATATGATGATTATATTATTCGAAGGATTAAATATAATTGTATTTTTAAAAATTTACTTATTACTATATATGTCATAATTTTATCGTAATTTAGGTCTGAATTATCTAAATAATCCTGAAATATTTAGAATTATATCCAAAGTGATATGTTCTAGCAATGAATACGATTATAATATTAATTAAAATTTATTTAAATATGTTATAAAAAAATATCTCTATAGGAAATTTTTAAGAAATGCAGTGGTATTTGAAAGAAAAAGAATATTTTAGCCGCTAAATAACGACTTTTAACGACTTAATGTTATTTAAAATAATATATCTTTGTATAACATCTAATATGCTTAAATCTAATAACTTACTCAAAGAAAAACCAGTAGCCATAGAACTTCGTAAAATAGTGTAAAATGCTGTTGTCATAAATACTTTCTCGGCATCAATAGTATTTCCGGTAAAAACATATGTCAATATAGTAATAAATAAACTAACTCGGGGAACAAAGACATCAAATGTTAAACCAATTTGTTCAATGATAGAATACTTCTTTATTACGTTAACTTCTTTCCTGAAAGCGCATAATTAGTAACTTACTGATCTTTTATGAAACGTAATAGATGTAAATTAATTTCTTACCGTCTGGCTTTTTCCACGAGAAGGGAGTATGGTATTTCCCAAACGTACATCTTAATTATTTCTACTCCAGCTATGATCTGATTCATTAATCTTAACCTGTCATCAGTTTTTTGCGCCGACACAAGAGTTAAGCGCGATACTTTTCTACCAAAATATACTAAACATGAAGAAAAAGAATTAAAAAAATAATTGAAAAAAAATAAAAATGTATATTAAAATAAAAATGATTATAATTATATACTTAACATTTTCTTAATACTCACATTGTAATGGTATACATAATAAAAATGTTGTCATTCCTGTGATAGCACCCACTCCAATTTCACGAAATATAAGGTACGCTATTAAAAACACCTGAAGCGGACCAATCCATAAATAATGAATACTAAAAACGAAGTAATCGAGCCTATTTACATCGTTGCTTAAGAAATTGACCATCTGAAAATATGATAAAAAATAATATTGTATATTTAGAATTATACAATAAATCTTAATTAATTCGTACCGTACCTGTCCAGCCGATGTTTCATTTTCCAAAACAGAATTGGACAATCTAAGTATTTTTCTATAAATTAAAGTACAACAAGCCACTCTGACCTTCATTCCCACATGCATTAGATTCTGTAAGGCCCAATGAAGGATCATAGCATCTAATAAAGGTAAAAAGCAGAAAGCTGCAGCATAATAATATATATCATTAGTCCAGTCTTTTCTACTCCCTGAGAAGTAACGTAGTAATTTGGCGAGTAAGAACGGTTGCATGATTCTGAAAGTGAAAATAAAATACAAATAATATTTATTTTTTCTGTCTTATTCCCCCTACAATAAACAAATTTTCCGATATTTATGATATTCAAAATAATGACAATTCTTTTTTCTATTATGAGTGAAATAAATTATGCATCGAAGTTCAAAGAAATATTAATCATAAGCTAATAATAATATTAATTTGAATAGTAAACTCCTTAATACCTGGAATACAGGTTTTCACTTCATAATAATACTTTTAATCTCATTATAATATCACATCATATTAAAATGAAATTTCCATGAAATATAAAATTTACATTTTATATGGAAATTACTATACAGTTATAAGATCATAGGATATCTTAAAATATAGTAAAACGAAGTAGTAATATATGACCAAGAAGATATGAACAAAACATCTCCTAATTATTTTGATCAGTATACCGAATTACCATGATATTGTTGTATTTGTTACTGTACCGTATGACGAACTCTAGAAAAAATAGTCCTAGTCCAGTGTTCATGACTATTTTACCGAAGCATTTATAAAGTACTCTAAATAAGTTTGGCTTCGAATTGTCTTTTTTCTTTTCACATCGTTTCACTTCGTTTTCCCAATTCTTCACAATACGTTGCCCCAAACAGCTACTTCTATCTTCTCGTAATGGAGAATACAAATCATCTTCCTCCAATTCTTTTTTATAGCCCACAATGAATAATTTTAGAATCCACCTATTCATTAAAGAATTAAATATGAATAAAATAAAAATTATTAAATAACGATGGAATTTATAATATATAATATATAATATACACATATACACATTTATATCAAAAAGTATTTTACCAAAAAGTAAGAATGGAGAATGGGTTGGCGTTTTGACGTGGATTATTCACTTTTTTCTTCTGACTTTTATCCATTTTTAACTCAACCGTTCTTGATCACCTTAGAGTATATGCAAACTAATGTTTATTTTACTTATTTCATTTTCTGTAATCAAGAAGAATTAAATAATTATAGACTTCACTGTGATCATTTTTGTTGTAATTTGATATGTTACTAACAAAAATTATTATTTATCATTATCATATTATTAGACTTAAGTAACTTTCGATACATTTTAAATAGGTACAAAGATAATAGTTTTAAAAAACGTAAAAAATTTGTTTACATCGATAAATTTTAAAGCTTTTAAAGTCTTATAAAATACCATGTGACTAGATTAAATACATGATCTCAGTTAACTATGGTATTTATAACATAATTTTATACATATGTTTTTCTCAAGTCTATATTCAGATACGTTTGTTATTCGGAAGCTTACTTTTCAAAACTAACGTGCCACATTTTCTTCCACGTTACATTTTCAAAATTAGTTTTAAAAAATGATCAAAAAAAAACATAATCAATTATAAAAAAATATTTATACGATTAATCCAGGCCACTTCATTCTCCATATTTGCTTCGAAATAATCAATCTCACGACATTCAATATTTATTGATATTATTTAATTGTAGTATTTATACAGTTGATATTTATCGATTACGAAGAAAATTTGAAAAATATAGAAGATAAAATCAAAACTTTTTCAGATTCACTTTGAAAACGTAATTATATAACAAACAACGTTACATACAAGGGGCCACCAACTAGATGATTTATAAACGAGAACATGCGTTCACACTGTTTGTTGGAACGATGTTGAAAACTGGTTTTGTTTACCTTATCATTTATCACGCAAGTTCTTATCAAAAGACAATACCAATGAAAAAGTAACCCGGTAACATGGTTACAGAGGAAAGAAAACAGATAATGTAATAAATCTCAATTTTTTAGATATACTAGGGATGAATCATGCGCCATTAAGATTGAATATGACTGCCAGCCACAAAATCTACTAGACGCGATATTTGTTTAATGTAAAAGATTTCTTCATTAATAAAACTCAGTCAATGAAGTTCATTTCATACACAAGAAAAAGTTGTAGAAAATTTTCTGTGACTCATCTCAGCCTATGATCATGTATAATGGAACAATCTTAACAATTTTTCAACAAATATAATAATAGAACATTTTAGAAATAATATATATCCTTTTTTGTAATTCCTAAGACATATTACTTAAATTTATTCTGTCTTAAAAAAGGAAAGAAAAGAAAAGAAATGGAAGTTTCGTAATGTCTAGAAAATAGCAAAAAGGTTGTCGATAATTAATTTCAGCATTTGATAAAGTGTACAAAATATAATGAAAGATATGAATATAACAGTTTCGACAAATATAATTGCACAAGAAAATATTTTGATATATACATTCCACATTTATTTCAGAAATTTATAAGTTACTTTAAATAAGAAAAGAGAGAAACAGAAAGAAAATGATCGAAAATAAAAAGAATTTCACGATTATAAATCTGTATATCATAATAAAAATTCCTCTGTTACAGAAATTCTTCCATCATCATTAACTCACCTAATTTATCAGTACATGCATATTATAGACCATATTTATAACTGTTTTCAAGGTCGTTGATACCACCAAATCCTTCGCCCATAAAGATAATTTTACACTCTCATTAATGAAATGTTTTTTTTGCGCAATTTTTCATTTATTTACTAAATCAAATCTAAGATATGAATCATTCGACGAATGCTAAAAATATGTCAAAATATGTAAAAATATTTCTACATATCTATACATGCATCCGACAAACAGTTACATATATATTTTCGTTGATATTTTTAGAACTCCGAACCTTCTTTCTTCGTTCATGTCTATGTTTTACAAAAGTCTGATCAATTTTTGTACACATTTCATTCATCATTACAATTCCTTCATATTTCCATTTCTTTTTTAAGTTTAACGTTACCTATTACGCATAACGTTTCCTAAATTTGTTTACATCTCTCATGCCTATCGTCTAAGGTTTCATTTGAATCTTATTACCCTTTGTTTAAATTTAACAATTAGCAGCACACAAACAATTGTTTTCTCATTCTATATTGTTCTACCTTTCTCCAAGTTTTCGCTCATCATTCATTTGCTCATTTCTTCTTCACTGATAACGCTCGTTCTTTTACATTAGCTATCTTTTTCTGTTCTATCTATGTCTCGTTCCTTCTTCTCTTTTTTAAAGATTAATATTTTCTCCTCGGAAGACAGTCCTGAATTTTGACTCAATCGAGCATGCTACGCTACATGTACAATTATTATTATTATTATTGTTGGAAATAAATCGCATGACAAAAAACTGTTTTAATTAATTAATACTATTACCTCATACGTATCCAACGCTTTGCGAATATCAAACATCAGGCATTTGTCGAAGTGCCTATCAAAGTACTCATGTATACCCTACAAAGAATTGTATGTAAAGACTAAAAAATATATGCAAGTGGAAATTACTCGTGTCTATTCTTTATCACCCGTCGGTAAATCAGTTCAAGTCAATGGAGTCCAGTATCTCTTGACAAATAATAGTAAAAGAATGTAATTTTTATTATTAATATTTTATGCTGACAAATAGTTTTTGCACAAAATACATTTCTATATTATAAAATTATATGCATGCTTTGCATAATTTAATATGAAAATATTTTTCAAAATTTCGAGATTTTTAATTTGCTTCTTACATCCAAGACGATATCGATATTGTAAAATTACGTACAGATTCAGATACAAGTTGTACATTGTAAATATTTTAAATATACAAAAATACTTTAAGCTTATCCATATATGATCGACAAGAATACTCGATTTGAGGTTGAACAAAGTGATCAGAACATTCACGTGACCACTTTTTCCGCTCGATGTTTCAATTTATCGCGAGACTGAAACGGTCTTTCAGATATTACCAGAGAGACGATGATACAGAGATAGAAAGTAACAAAAATATTTGTCAGTGAGTAGGTATTACCTGAATGCAGACAGAGTACATTATTTGGCTCAGTGTATCATGTTGCAGCTTTGTAATATAAGTATTTCTCACGTTGTTAAAGAGGTTGATGATCAAAGTAAGTACTGGAAGCGTTTGTGGTTGGTACAAACAAGGAAGTTGTGCGACAGTAATGCAACATCTGGAACCTTGACTTCTCCTTTACTAAGTTGAGATTAGTCAATTGCTTCGGGAAATTTTCCTCTGAGTAATTTTAAATGGAACAATGACCAATTTTAATTTGTATTATTTGTAAAAAAAAATATTACTAAATAAATAGATCGAAAATTGGGATTTGTAACTGAAGATTTTTATATAAAGATAATATAATTTCTACTAATGTAACTGCAGGATGGAAATTATATTATGAAGAACAAAGATTTAATGTAGTGACCCCATTTGTCCTTATATGTGATTAAAATTTTTATTTTTCGAATTAAAATACTAGAACCTAAAGAAGAATTATATAAAGACAAAGAATTACACGATTGTTCGAGAATATATCGAGGTAAGAGGAATTCAATCGATTCCGGTTGTGTAGTAATAAACTTCTGTTCACGAGTGCGGATAATGCGATTTTGTTTTTTTCCACAGATTATCCTCGTTACGGGAAAAAGAGAATTAGCGAAGAGATAGACAGATATTGTATGATTTTTATCTTTTTTAAGTAAAGACCATTACTATAGATTATATTTCAATAGGATTGTCTGTTTATTATACATTAATTTCAATATAGTAAATGTTACTATGCAATTACTGAATTTTACAATTTTACGATAAGATATACAGTACTTCCTTCTGAATGTGACAATTAATCCTAATCGATTATGATACTTAAAAGATAAAAGTCAGTTGGTTATAAATAAGATTTTGTTAATGAACGAAAGCTGACAGTACATAATTGTCACAATAATAATTCGTTTATGGATAAAGATTTTATATTCGTATTTAATATGATTTAACTATACCTCGACATGATGACGAATAACGTGATAGAAACCATAATGATGACTGATTTCGTTTATTTGACTTTGCTTCCAATCACTTACAAATTGAAGCAATTGATTGTCACGATAGACAAAGGAATATCCAGGAACACTTTGTTGAAGCACTAAGAAAACAAACGATTAATGATAAGAAACTGTTTCTTGCCACCAAACACACCAAAATCTCCACCGGCATCACAATAATACATGTCCAACACAACAAAGTATTTATGTATTAGCACGTCCTCTAATGCAGCTGTCTCGTAAGCACTTTGGTATTTTCGAATTTTAACAGATGGCGTGCTTGTAAAAGATATTGAGAAGGGAGAAAAAGTAGGTTCAATATTATATCATAACGAAAATAAAAGTCGTAGATTTTTGTGCTTTAAGGTTATACAAAATCGTATATCAGTGTAAAATAATATTACGAGATATTAAAATTGACAAATTATATTATACTTAATATACTCAATTATACCGAGGATCGATGTAGACGAAAAGGTTCTATCGCGTGCGCATGTTCCACGCGTTTCATTAATAGACTGAATTATGTAAGCAAGCCCAAATCAAAGGGCGAATTTGCGGTGAAAAGAAATAACTACAAATATATATATATAGTTTAGCTCCATATATAGCTTAAATTGTTTTAATTCGTTAATTAGTTTGGCGTTTAAATAACAACAATTATATAATTGTCATAAATAAATTCACTTTTTACATTTACACGTATTATAAGAAGCGCATCTACATTCTCCTCTATGTTATTAGCCATGACGTAAGGAAACAAAGAGGGCGTAACGAAACTGTAAAATATGGTTCACATCTTCGACTATAATACACACTAACCGGCAGAGGCAACGTGGCAAATGAACTCGTGGTTTCACTGATTGACGAAGGAGGCAGCGAGTGTATTAAAACTGCTTTATAGGACTCTTTCTTTGAGAACTTTGCACGTTTAAATGCGTTTCATATCGTCTAGGAAAAAGTATCGCCGAGAACATTGAAACTTGAAAAATGAACGTAATTAGTCGAGCCACTATGTAATCGATGAGTTCAAATTGCATCGAACACGAAATTTTCTGTTGAATAACAGTTGTAAGATAATTGAAAAAGTCTGTAATGAAACGAGTGTCTAGCAAGCATCAATTTTCTTACAGAGTAATCGTTAATCGATCATTCGGTATGAAAGGCGGTATAATACGGTGGCCGGTAGTCGGTAAAATTACAATTCAATTAAACAACAAAACCTCGTGATGAACGTAAGACATATCTTCGTACTATTCGTTTACATTCATTTTATATTACGATTTATTTACATAAATATTATTCAAGTTACTTGTGATTTTTAAAAAATATTTTGGCAAAGACTTTTATACATTTTTAATATTTTACAGAATAACATGTTTTTGTTCAACGAACGTGTTTTTTATTTGTTCGACGCATGGCCTTTAAGTAAAAAATACACGAAATTTGTTATGTACATGTTCTATCTCACTGTTCACATGATTCCAATGAATATGGACTTGATTTACGCATTTGGGGACCTAGAAGCGGTGATAGAAAATATAATAGAAAGTACTGTAATTATAACTACTTATTTTGTGCTGATTTTACTTCGATGTAACAAGTTTGTCAAGCGTGCGATAATTACCGTGAAAGAGGAAGTTGCAAAGATCAAGTTTGAGAACACAGAAGAGAAGCACTTGTACTTTACATATTACAACATTTCGGACAAGTTTGGCAGATACAGCATTCCAATAACATTCGCAATAACAATTTTGTTATATTTGACACCAATGCTACAACTGCTGAAGCATGACTCAGGTATCTGCTAATCTGTAGTACGTTATGACTGTTGATAAATTTGATCCGATTCTAATAACATCATTGTTTGGAATGGGATCACGAAACAATAGATTAATATTAAACTATTCAAAAAATTCATAGAGAAATTGAAGAAAAATGTAAAGGTAAATTTATTTTCGTAAAATTGATATTTTATTGAATAATTGTTATTTCATGAAATAATTGACAACTGCCGGTCAATAGTTTGGAATCACGTTCCATAAAAGATAATTGATTTAGAATTCTATTACTTTAAAGATTTCTTTAATATCTTTAATATTAATTTAAATTTTATATTTAAGGAAGAGTTTCGTCATAGATACAATTTTGAAAATAATTTCAACTTTTTATCATAGAAAAGAAGGAATTTTATTTAAAAAATTGTAATGCAAATAACTCAATTCAATATTTATTAAAATAGTATTTAATACGAATTTAGAATAACAGGAAATTATTTTTTATCTATGTAATGTCATTTCAGGGCAAGTTAATGAATCATCGAAAGATTATAAGCTGCCTTTTCGAATGCACGATTTCTTCGGTTATAAGATCCACTTTCAGAACTTCATTATAATGTATGTGTATCAGTTTCCAGTTTTATTTATAGGAATAATACATACAAGCTTCGTCAGTTTGCTAATTAAATTGGTATTACACGTCTGTGGCAAATTTGCAATTTTGTCGTATCGAATACAAAATATGTCCATAACATCACATGTTAATTTAAATACTAAAATTAAAGAATTTGTGATTGTACATATAACATTAATAACGTAAGTATGTGTTCTTTTTTATTGCATTATTCTAATGATTTTCATTTTAAATTCATTAAGGTATCGATATATATAAATAATTTTCAATTGAATTTCTAATGAATCTAATATCTATAAGCTAATAATAAGAGCAAATTTGTATCCATACACTGTACTTAACGAATGTTTATTATAATGATACTAACATTTGTGTTTTTTTATAGGACGGCAAATATCATCAATTCTGCGTTTCAAATTTTCTTTTTGATAGAACTTTTACAAATTAGTATTAGAATATCTGTCGTTATATACATGTTAATTATAGTATGTTTATCATGTTTACTCTTTATTTTATTTATCATACTAAATTCAATACACTTATGAATCTTTTAATTCGTGAAAGTCACAATATAGTATAACTTACGAAAATGAGTAATTTTTATTTATGTTTAGGATTCTTCTGGAAATTTCGTGAAGACTATAACGCACATCTTATACGTAGTGATGATTACATCGATGTTGTATCTATACTCCTTCATAGGCGAACAACTATCGCAGGAGGTACGTAGTTGTCATTCAAAAGTTGTGTGAAATATGAATAACATTATGTTTAGTCTATGAAAGTGAGCGAAGCGTTCTATAATACCGATTGGGATAATTTATCAGTCCATAATCAGAAATTATTCCTTCTGGCTTTGTCTTGTGGACGACAAACTTTGCACGTCACAGCTGGAAAATTTTATACTTTTTCATTATATGGTTTCATCGATGTGAGTAATTATAATTACATAATGTGATGCCAATACTGTAAGATATTGCAAACTTTGCTATTTTATATTCAATTTCACATTCCACAAAAATATATATACTGACTAATATGAATAGAATATTACTTAATTTCACTAAAAATATATATCATTGTCTTTATGATTGATCGAATTATTAATTCCAAAATAATAAAACCATATATTTTTTTTATGACAGATTATGAAAACCTCGTTCGGATACGTTTCCCTCTTGCGAGCACTAACATAATACAGAATGGACAAAAACCTTGCGTTACAATATGACTAATACAGTACAGTAATCTTATTATATCATTAACGAATATATTCTTTGTTACATTGTAATAAACAAATCAAACTAGATATTTAAATAATTTGTTTCTTACAAGTTTTCGTTCATCGCATTACGAAATTGTGTTAAAATTGTGGATTTCGGATTTAAATCGTGTCATTCTGGAAAAAATCTCAACGTTTCAAGTTGATACCAGTATCACTGAGTCATTTGATCTCTGAACCAACTGTACTACTCGTGGAATAATAAAATACCTCTTTCAAAAAGATACGACTTGTATCCAGAAGCTTCAGTTCTGATCATTTTATGATACCAAGTAATTAAATTCTCAAATATTTAATTACATATCTATCATAAGTTACGGTATATCATATTATCAAGAACTATACATTTTGGAAAATATTTTTATGTACATGTATACTTAGCCATAGCTCCAAACGGTAAATTCCACTTGATTAGAGAGCGTCACTTTATCAGTCTCTTCTACGTTAGAGATTTACGCAACGAGCCTCAAGCATGTTCTATTACTCCAATAAACCTACATATATCTCAGGCATATCAATCGCCAATGTGTTATAAAGGGCACATAAATGAACATGAAGAATAGAAAGAACAATTTAAACTTCAATCGCAATTTCTTATTAACCTTTTAAATAGGAAGAACGGATCTGCCGTGACAAATATCTAATGATTAATGGTGCATGGCAAATCAAGTGTTTATTCGCTGCTACCGAAATGAATACAACGGGTTATTCAAATTTTTAACATTTACATCTACATTTGACATTTTTCTTTTATTATACGTTTTTGGGTATTTTATTATGTCATAAATACTTGGAACATACATATGTATTTTATAATGAAAATAACAAAATAAGAAACGACGAATGTTTTATGTAAACTACATTAGATTTGACCATAAAAAATGGATCTTCTATGTAGAAAAGGACAAAATTATTTATATTAACGCGTTAAGTTATGAAATCTATGTTTTAGTTTATTATATCACAGATGTATCTTTTATTGTGTTCTAAAAGTATTATCCAAAGTATTCCTTCTGAAGGGAATGAATGTATTTCTACGAGCGTGTATACATGCATTAAACACGAAATTGCTGGTATTAAAAGAAAGTGCTAGCAGTAAGATAATAATTGAATGAAACTGTAATACAGCATGTGTGAGCGATACGCGTCAATTTTCATATGAAATTACCGCTTATCAATTGCGCGTACGGAACAGCATTGTATCAAGACTGAGAGTTAGCATCACGAGATCGCAACTCGATTAAGTGACCAAACAACGACGGCGAGCGCAAGATATCAGTTTGTATCATTTGGTTTATTAACATCGTACAGGAGAATACAATATCATTCGCTCTAAACCACAGTAGCCGTTGCCTGGAGTCTGTTGTCAAGAGGTTAATTGAAATTTTATCAGTGCTTATTGCGAAATAGATGTACAACACTTGTTTCAAGTATGGCTCATGTCATCGCACTTTTCCTCTCAGTTGAACATTTAGGTAAACATTTACGAGCCGTTGCCGATTCGTCGACCGACATTGTCGCAGACAGATACAGTTTACATATTGTCATTGTAAACAGACGGTGATATATCACTCTTCAAACTGTACCGTTTCCTTTTTCCATCATCAATAAATATAGCAACATATGTAAACCGATTGTAAGATTAAGTTAATGTTTTACGTAAGTTTGATACCACGAATTATGATAAAAATAAATCGAAAAATATTTGAATCATATTACTGTATAGTTATATTTTTTATAATGTTTGTTCTATCATATTTTATATAATATAATTTTGGAAATAAATTTCGTACTAATTAATTAATTATGAGTTAATTAATTATGAATTACTGTCCTTTATGTAATTAACATATAAATTTCATACACACACTGTATAAACAATATCCACGGTTATGTTCACACGTAATTTTCTTCCACATTTTACTTCTAGTTTCGATTATTATACAAAAGTTTATAAATTAATTGTAGACACTTCGTAATTTTTAAATTTTCCAATGCCGAATTAGTTTGTCAGGAGATATCAGAAATACATAACCAAAGAAAATACCCAATTCAAATAAAATCAATAATAATTCAAGCGCCTTCGATCAGCGCCATTTATTATTTTGGACTCGAAAATGTGATTTGGTGATAGGAACATATAATGTATGAGGGGCTCTTCGACAGCCTCGTGGCGCCATCTGTGTTTTTTTGCGGAAATCGAGCTTCCAGTCTAAAATCATAGATGGCTCTGATGTCAGTTTACTAACTCTGGTTATATGCTCCGAATATATTTTAATAAATCAAATCGGCAGTGGAAAATTCACTAATTACTCGATATCTGTGATTAATTTATGAACTTTTATAATTGCATCGTAAAGCCAGATCCTTCAAAAACTTTCCAATATATTTTTCGATAGAAATTTCTCCCTAATTAATTAATTATTAATTATTATTCTACCAAGTGTTAGAATTGTTGTCGAAGACGCCATTGGTTTTTCATTAATTACTATCATTTACGCAATTAATTTATGAAACTTTATGCACTCATTAGAAAAACAATGTTCTTGCGAATCTTCTCATATAACTTTTGATCACATTTTGCTTCTAGTTTCGTTTAGTATTAAATATATTCACGGAAGATCGTGATGGCCGTCGTTACGAAATCATAGACGCCATAAAACAAAAATTAATAACTAACAATTTAGAGTTAAATTCTTTACGAAAATTTACGAAAATTATATAAGAATGTAGCTTGAAGTTCCAGCTTTGTAACGAAATTATAAAAGTTCACAAATTGTTTACAGAAATTGAGTAATTAATTATTTTTCACTGCCAGAACCTTTCTATCCTTTTCTAACTGCTCTCTGTCCTTGTCTGCCACGCGATGGAATCTTCGACGATCTCCTCGCTTATCTGCGATCCGGTTACTGAACTTGAGTTTCGAGTCCAAAATAATAGATGGCACTGATCTGACTCGAACAGTTTACTAACTCTGGTTATGTTCTTCTGACACATATTAATAAATTAATTCGGCAGTGGAAAATTAATAAATTTCACAATTTCTGTGAATAATTTATGAACTTTTATCACTGTATCGAGAAGCTGTGACTTTGGGCAACATTCTTATGTAACTTTTGTTCATAATTTGATGCGAATTAGTTAGGTGTTATTAATTATTTGAAGGCGGGAATTATTTGACAACAACGGCCATCACGATCTTCCGTGAATATATTTAATACTAAACGAAACTAGAAATAAAATGTGATCAAAAGTGATATGAGAAGATTCGCAAGAACATTGTTCTTATAATGCATGCATGAAGTTTCATAAATTAATTGCGTAAAGGATAGCAATTAATGAAAAATCAATGGCGTCTTCAACAATAATTCAAACACTGCGTAGAATAATAATTAATAATTCATTAATTAGGGACAAATTTATATCGAAAAATATATTGGAAAGTTGTTGAAGGATCTGCCTTTACGATGCAATTATAAAAGTTCATAAATTATTCACAGACATTGAGTAATTAGTGAATTTTCCACTGCCGATTTGATTTATTGAAATATATTCGGAGCATATAACCAGAGTTAGTAAACTAACATCAGAGCCATCTATGATCTTAGACTGGAAGCTCGATTTCCGCAATAAAAACACAGATGGCGCCACGATGTCGAAGAGCTCCTCGTATATTATGTATTCCTATCACCAAATCCGATTTTTGAATCCAAAATAATAGATGGCGCTGATCGAATGTCGTTTGATTGGCTATCTTATTGAGGGAATCAGAGCGGTATCAACGGATTGCATTAGGGGTGTAAAGAGTTTATTTATTAACCGAATTCGTGCAATATGTCATATTTTGCAACAAATTTTAGTCGACATTTTTTTTAACCTTTTACTATTTTTATAATATCATAAAAGAAGATACTGTAATTATATATAAAATATATTTACTATTAATTTTAAGAATCTATCTTCAGTAATAATATTTTTATTATTAACTGATATATTTTTTATTGTTTAGAATTTGAACAGTATAAAAGTGACAAACGAAGATCAAGAAGTTAATAAATAATCCCGTTGCAAATCCAAGGAAGAGTCACATATATACTTACACTGTTTGACTGTAAAGTTTTAATGAATTGCATTTTTTTTTTTTCCGTAGACTGCTATATGTTAGCTCCATTGCACTTGGCACTCGGATTATCTGTAGGTACGGTACTGTCGACGCTACAAAAGCATGCAGTGGCAGCGTGGCGGTAAAACACGTTACTGAGGAATATTTTCTCTATCTAACTGAATTGAAAACTGTTTCATATATATGCATATGTGTGTGTGTGTGTGTATGAATTCTCTATATCTTTTATAAGCTTTTTTCTAATTGGGCCTGTGACTATACGCATTATCTATGATAAATTTTTTCGCGATGGAAGTAAACATTGGATTTCTCTGACATGAATCGTGTTTGGGTTAAGTATAGGTCAGGTTAGTTTACTTCTGTTGATCAAAAATATTATTTCTGTTGATCTATGTTGATATTGTTGTAGAACGTTCGATAACCCAACAAAGGATCTGCTATTTTTATAACCTCTTTCCAATTGGATCTGTGACTACACGTATTATTTATAATAAGTTCTTCCGCGATAGGAGTAAACATTCGACTTCTCTGATGTGAATGATATTTCGTTTACCTTGTAAAAATGAATTCCGTCGATCGCAATATAAATATTTTATTTCGTAGCGGTGTTCGGTTGGACTTAATTGATAGAACGTAAGATTGTTTCAGAATGGAATTTCAAATCTTTCACTTACGGAGAATCTAATAACTTGTAAGGTCTCTTCACGTGAAAGGAAGCTACAGTTGCGACATAGGAAATCACCAGTCTGCAGGTAAGAATTGATAAATGGACAAAATATAACATTTAATTTTAATCGGTAATCGATGAATATATACCAACTGCTGATAATCAATATTCGTCAATTTTTAATTTTTTTAATTTAATTTTTTTAAGCTTTAACTTTTTTAATTTTTTAAAATATAGATGCAACAAGATAAAAGACTGCTTGGAAATCAACAGCAAAGCGTGAATATAAAAAAGGACAATTTTTCTATTTTTAGGATTACACGAAGCGAAAAGAAATTCGAAAATTCTCGGAACGTACATACACACAAATGAAAATATACATTTATAAATAGAACGTAAATATTTCACAGTTATTTTTAGAAAACGATTTTCTTTTTAACAGAATAATCATAATTCTAGATAATAGATATTAATTTGGATAAATTATCTAAATTATGGCGATAACACAAGTATATTCATTGTGGTTGATAAAATATTGTCGTGTTTTAAATTGAAATTTAATTTTTGGGTAGCAAGATCAGATAATATATTATGTAAGAACTGTGCGACAACTACACGAAGTTAATTTGTTTCCAATTAAAAAGATTGGTCACATTTATCTGACTAACCACGTGCATGTCTATTCTGTGATAGTGGATCTGCTTGTTTTGAAAATCTAAAATTGAAGTGCACAGTTACTGATCAAACATACAGGATTTCTCGTTTCAAATTTGCTGATAGATAAAATGTACCACGTTGCTTTTATCTAAATTACTGCTTCGCGTTATCTTTATTTATCTTTTCCTTTTTACGAACTAGGTGAATGTAAACGGTACGTGCCTGATGAAAGAAAACGGATCAATACGTTAGCTTACGAATCCATTTTCTACATCTTCTGCAGAGATCTTATTTCGTCATCGATTAAACTAAGGAAGAGTAACAAACCTTGAAACAGTCCTAAACGAAGGTAAGATTGAACAAATGATTATTTAACACTAGGACTATAAAAGGGTTCAAAAAAACTTGTTTCAGATATTTTGTTTTTTGCAACTGCTGGAAGCATATAAACTGCTTTAGATAAAATTTATGCTTACTTTTATTCGGATGGAAACATGATTGTTTATAGTTACTCGTCGTCCTCGTGCCACTACAATTATTTTCATTCGTGTAAAACGTAAGTAATTGCTCATTACACGTCGGTAATTCTAGTATTAAATTGTCTAACAATAACCAGTTAGATAAATTACTAAAACAACTTTCAAACTTGAAAAATATTTGTTAAATCCTGAAATTCAGGAACACGAGTGTTAAAACATTTACATACACGTAATCAAGTATAAATTATTTTTAATTATATTATGTGATTCAGTTCCAGAGAGTCGAAAGAATTTTAAACGACAAGAATATCGTCTGCCGAGCAATGATCTCAGATGAGAAAATAAAACCCAAAATGGTGACTCCATTGAGATTAGGAAAACACCAGTGCGTTCCCTGTACCGTTAGCCAATATTCTTGGTATATACGTGCAGATTGGTATGCTATCTCCGTTATCGGATTATAACGGTGTACGAAAATATTTGATCTGTGGCTATTTTGACAACCTGTTCAAACATCACTCTTGGTCCTAAGAAATCAGCGATTGTAATTTAATAGATTCGGTGAACAGTGAAATATGAGTACATCGATGAACATTATCATTTTGTTTAGGCTGTCTCGATTAATACAGGATGCATTATCGTCAAACGACTCGTCTTTCACGTATTTTAGTATCTTTAACTAGCAGGTACAGGTGGTTTGGACTGTCTTCGAGGTTCTCAAGGGAAGGTGATCATGCAGATTACAAGCGTTCCTTGATGTAACTTTTTTATTGAAAAATTATACAAATATCATGCATAGACTCCACGAGGTATCGTGAAATGAACTTCCGTTTTGGTATGAGGTCTGGCGAAGGATACAGGGAAAAATCGGATTTTCGTGTCGGACGACTCATGGGAATTCACTGAAAATGCACAAAAGCAAAAAAAAAAAAAAATACACTAGAGATAAATAATTAACGTGCCTATTGAAAGATTCTCGAAAATACATGGATTGATCTGGGATAAACGAGGAAGAAAGAAGTATAAAAATGGTTCGAAGGTTGTTATGCCATGATACATGATATTGTGAGAATGTAAGTCAATGAAATACAAAAATACAAGTGTTTCGATTTTCAAAACTTTAAATATTTGCGGTTTAAGATATTTCAGAGAGATAAAAAGATCAAGCGTCGATCAATGCCATACGATGTGGATTTGGAATGGATGGGGTCCTTCCGCTCTTGAATACCGTCGATAATGCTTTGTGGATGTTCAAGTTCTTTTAATAACACGTATTATTAAATTCAGCGATAGTAAATTGATAGTGGCAATAAATGAAATTTAATTTTTTCAGCAAAAATTGAAAGATAATCGTCAATTTTATTCCATTTCACTGTTTGGCAATAAATCACTATATATATGTGGCTGTAAACAACGGTCCTAAGTATCAGGCATCAACGGTATCATTTTGCTATTAATCAGGGCCGTTATTAGATTATTTACGACCTCGCTATATCACCGAAACTAACTATACTTATACGATCTGTCTACAGTTTTTCAGTTTCTGCCATATATTATATTTATCTGTTCATTATTAGTCCTATATTTACTATGTCATCATTTTCGAAAAATATTTTACTGCCTTCCTCGACTCCTGACAAATTATCATCATATTTTATATCTATTTGTACATTGTTACTATTGCGTTTATGGTGTCGCTATTGTTTAAAATATTTATTAATATTATTCGTTTCGTTATATTTTATACGCATTTTTACACATGCTTGCATTTATTTTGCATCTATCGAGTCTTATACTTTTTAAAATAATATTACTATTTAATATTAGCAATTAAAAAAATTAGAGACCTAATTAAGTTTTTGGATCATTTAAAAAAAGAGAGTAGAAATTTTGTATATTTATATTATAAACACTTTGTATTTGAGATGTTAGTAAAAAAAAAATATTGAAATAAAAATAATTGTTACTTTACACGACATAATTCGAGTTAATGTTTATCCGTCCAGTGACAGTACAAATGAAATGTTAAATTTAAAATTAAATGCAAAAGCAGATAGCAAAATCAAAAAACCGAATGGAGAATTTATTTTTGAAAATATCTTATACACACGTAGATAGATAGAATAAATAGGTTAACGTATAAAGATTAACAATTAATTCTTATAAAAAAAAGCGGCTACAAAATTATTCGCTTAAGTATGTATATTGACACGTTTTAGACACTTTAATCTGATAAAATCGGCACGAGACATAAATAAGTTCAAGAACACTACTAGAAGTCTATAAGTAGAAGTTTCAAGGATATTCGAAGGTTCGGTACGTTTCTCTAATGGAATCTATTTTTTTGTTTTGTTTAGCATACACGCAAAACATATAATTAGTGTAGTTTAAACGTAACGTGCAAAAATTTATCATCATATTTAAGAGATATAGGGTGCAGCCTAGGCATATAATTCAATTTCTTCTTTCTTTGTTCTTTGTCTTTGTTCCTCAAGCACACTAGAATCGACAATGGCGTTACTTACCTGTTCAAAATTCCAGACGAATATTAAATTAAGGTGAATAGTTCATGAATAAAGTTTTTTTTATTTATGCCAATTTAACTTTAGACAGGTTATAAATTAACATTAAAGTTACTAGGAAAGACTCAGGTATATAGCTTGAAAAAATTCGAAAAGATTTCAAAAGAAATTATACATTCAAACTATGATTTAGTAGACCTGAAGAAACTATCGAATATCCTTGACACCTCTCGTCCATTTTTCTTTATACTGTTCTAATCGCTTCCTCGAAAACCACATGTTTCCTTTTATTCAGCCATGTTACATTTTTTACTACAGATCAATTCATTTATAGGTTAAAATGGATTCGACACATTTAAAGTTCACAAATAATAAAGAATTAAAAAATAAGATATTTATTTAATATCACAATGATTACATAAACTTATTAAATTATCATTTGTGCTGTTTGAAATAACAAAGAAAAAGTTTAAATTAACAAGTTGAGAAACGATTTTGTAAAAATATCTGCAGTTTGAATATACAGACATTTAGTTATTTTCTAGAAATATGTTTATACTTTATGGCCATTTTCAATTATTACGAACGTCGTGGGAGGTTATTTCGAAACAGTTTTGAAATATATGTAAATATTACGCTTATTTTATTTTTCTTTAAGACAATGCATTATTCAATTTAACACTTCCAATTGTTGCGTGATAGATGAGTATTGATTAACTTACATCACTGTACCTCGATTCTTTGTCGCAATATGAACTTTATTTGAAATAAATATAATTCTACTGATACACATACGTACTTACACATATTTATACACTTGCAAATATGAAATTTAGTTTTCTTTTACAGTCAAATCTTTATCTAAATACCTCTCAAAAATTTAACTTTACAATGCATGTAATATATTTTAAAATTACAATTATTTAAATTAATTGTATACAGTCGTTGTTATGAGAATTTATTCTATTGATCATATGATTCGCTTAATACTGAAAAGGTTAAGGAAGTATTGACTTAAAATTATTGATGTACTAGATTTTACAGGTCATTCCATAATATTCTGTAGAAAATTGTCAACTGTACATTTTGTTTAAATAAATTTAACCACTCATTATCAGATACTTCCTAAAGATATGCCTAGCGTTAAATTGCTTTTAACTCGTGATAAACTGGTCAAGTAGAATAGTCCAATATTTTTTTGATTTTTTGAATTTTCTAACTTAAACAAGTCTCACATTTTATAAAGTCGATAGGAAAAATTTTAATTAATACTACTGATATGTAATTATTCTTAGAACAAGTATGTAACATAGTACTCACCGCAAAATTGACGTTTGGTGGCACTACGAAGTCTGTCAATGAATAACGTCCACTAGTTTCGAAACACTTCGCAACATTCAAGATTTCTCGTAATTATACTGTGTGTAATTTCCAACTGAAGAACGGGTAAAAGGCACAAACGTTTATATATACCGTGTTATGTGTTCGTCGACTGGTGTACAGTGCTGATCAAGGTAATACGTTTACTTTATTGTTATCGTTTAAAATATTATCTGATTTCGTCTCTTTTCAACATATATAGGTTTAAATATATAGACCCATTTATACTACGGCACATGTGCTCCTCTACTAAGTGAGACGTTAGCCTTTTTACAGAACTTGCAAGTTAAGAATCACTCGTTTGAAACCATTCTCCTTGTTCGTCTCAAGCCAATGAACTATCAACTGGAAAATCTCGAGCGAAAGCCAATCGCATTTGAAACTCTGTCCCTGTATCTGCAACGCTATCTATGAACAGCAAACGAAATTATGATTTCAGTTTCTAGTCTAGAAACAATTTGCAAGGCATGATTCATTTGTAAACATTATGTAGAAAGACAAAATATGTATTCCACTAATTATGTCATATATGATAATGTATAAAATTCAAAACTTTTATATGTTTTTATTCTTTGAGAAACATTAGCGAACGACGATTTTGAAAATTTGATGGAGAAAGGTAATATTAAATTTACTTAATTTCACATAGTCAACACAAAACATTTTTTCGTAACGATCTTCATTATAAAAAAAGTTTATTATTCGTAGCTGAGGTGGCGCGTGGTACATACATGAGGTTTCCGACTACAACAAGTCCTATGATTTCACGCAAATACTATGTACAGACATGGGTCATGTTGTAATATTAATATCTAGTATTAATTAACATAAGTCAACGTTACATCTAAATTATTACCCATTACACTATGATCTATGATATTAATGTTCAAAAGATTCACTTTCACGCAAATCTTGTACAACTTTAATTGTCACATGTTATTTTCTAGTACGTGTTCTGTAGTGCAGTATAAACATTCTCTATTAACAACGTATTCTCGCGATGTTCGACTGTCGTAATTCGAGAATTCGTTTAACCTTTCTCTCATAACAATGTTCAGTCGCTGAGGAAGGAACAAAATTTTTCTCACCGAGTGTATTTAACACTTAAATTCTCCTAAATAAACGACTACACTTACAGTTACGTACACGCAAATGCTTAAAAACGCTTCGATAGAGAAAGTATCATAAAGCGAGCACTGATTGAATTATTAAAACAAAAAAAAAAGATAGAAAAAAAATAAAGACAAGAATTTTCTGGATGGTAATAAATATTACTTTTGTAGACCTCAAAAATAGGTACTATTTCACTAGTTACAATAATCATACCTGCCTTCATTCAGAGTATAAAAATATCTGTGTAATTAGTACCTAGAAAAATCGTTGTCCTAGTATCAGATAACTATACGTAAGAGCATTTTCCCACGCTTTCGTCGTTATTATGATTTACAAAACTTCGCGTTCAATTTTTTCATTTCGCGCTAATCGCTTACTTGAGCAAAAACAAAGAGTTAATGGACACTTTTATTGTCGATGTATTTCAACTATTCTACGTACGAAAGAAAAGCTTTGTTTGCAAGGGAGAAGTACAATTTTCAGGAATATCAAAGAGATCGTAAGAACGAAATTAGATAAGAAAAGAGATATTACATAACAGACACCTTCGGCATTCATTTAAACTTCGTAAAGGTCTAATCTATCATCGGACTTCTTTTTCTTCCTTGAGTATTAGCGACGAGCAGGAGAATCGTAAATGATAAAATGGCACCCTGAGTTGAAGAAGCACGGTTTGTGTAGAAACGCTATTTAAGTACTTAAGGTGTTAAGTCGACCTTTTCTTGTCTACTGCTTGTTATCCAAGTACAGAAAACAGAGCAGTTATGGAATCGTTTCAACAGCTTTGAGGAATGTACTTTGATCGAGGTATAGAATTTTCATAGCGTCACTAGAGTGGCAAACTCCGTTGCTTTTTCTTCGTTTTATGTTACGAATGCGACGCCCTTGTCGGATCTTTTTTTACAACCGACACGCCTGTCGAATTCGTCACCTTGTAAGCGTTGCCCTTCACCTCGGCGGGGTGTTTGTGAGTACTCGTCGATGATTTTCTTGGAGGTTTAGTGATCTGCGTTGTAGAAAGGCCGCTAACTGGATACTTATTTCTACTGGATGTTCCGCCATTACTATTTCTCGAGCCGTTTTTTGTGGACGTCGAAGAAGTGGCCTCAGCAGGGTGTTTCGGCATAACAAACGCTTTTGTCTGTTTCAATAAATATCGATCGTTGCACAATGCTGATATCAGTGGCAAGTCTAAGTTACGACTCTTCTCGCGTAGCGTTCTAATATCCAACATTCCGTCTTCTTTTCCTTCTTCGCGTTCCTCCACCGTATTTGCTTTCGACGCCTTCTTCGGTGAAGAAGATGACGAAGAGGCGGATGGAAGCGGTTGATTCTTCTCGAGGTTCTGCAAACGGAATAATTGAAGTAAAATATCTACGCTAAAATATTGAAATGACATGAAGAATTTATTTAAATATATTTAAAAATTATAATGCTTTCTGTACCGCATTATGTAACTTTATATTGCTATATAATGTTTATTACAAACATATATTAAGTTTTATAGAACTTATACGATACCTGTATTTCATAGGGTGGTGGTGGTGGAGGCGGCGGAAGTCTCCGATGTTTCAACTGTGGTAAAGATTGTAATTTCGTGGCGGAAGGCGAGTCGAAACACTTCAATATATTCTCGTCGCTCCTCGTTCTAGAAAACGCGTGGAGTGTGTGGGGATGAGCTGGGGCTGGTGGTTCGCGTCTAAGACTCTGACTTCCTGCCGATGAACAAGTAGCTCCACTATATAGCGAACTTGTACTAGCAGCGTAGTGGCTGCTCAAATTACTATGCGGTAAGTAGTTGTTAGAACTCGTGTCGCTGCTACTAAGGTTTTGATTCGAAGCGTATTTCGTAGGTGACGAGAATGAGGAACCAGGAAGGTATGGTGTACTACGATACATTACTAATGATTTATTGTTAAACGAAGGATAAGGTGGAGGAGGATAAGCAGCCATGGCCGCTAAAAGCGATCCCTGTTTTGCGTCAATGTACTCTTGCTTCGACACTGCGGGATCCTTTAGAGGAAACATCACATAATCGACGTCTGAATACAGTTGTTGTTTATACTGTTCAATCTGCGATCTCGCAACTTGACTTGTATAAACAGTAGCCAAGCTGGGCGGTGGTGGTGGTAAGTATGGTAACAAAACCGGACCACCTCGTGAAGCGTGCACGTCCAAGTAATTGTTCGGTCCAACGACAAGAGCTGCGACGGGCGCGTGGACCGGCGTGGGTTTCATTTTGTCACCGGGATAAGTAGGTGGTTGAATTCTGGGTGGTGGTTTTGGGGCGATCGAAGCAATGTCGTTGGTAGCTTGATTAGTACTGATAGTCTTCGAAGCCGTCAAAGTAGCGTTCATCTTACTATTCACTAGACCAGTTTGTATTTTTGTCGACGTCACCCTCGATACTATTTCTTCAGTCGTAGCTGGATATAATTTAGAAATTGCTTCTTGTCGAGTGACCTCCGGAACCTCAGGATAAGGTGGTGGAGGTGGTGGTTCTCTTGGTGTTACCGCGTCATTTCTTGGAGGTGTAGGCGGTGGTATTTGAATCCTTTCTCTGGGTGAAGTGTAAGGCGGTGGCGGTGGCGGATCGGTTCTTCGTGGTGGCAAAGGTACAAATTCGCCACGAGTGGCATTGTACGGTGGGGGAGGTGGAGGTTCCCTTTCGATATCCGGTATTTTTGGTCGTGGTGAGTTTATTGTCGCATAGTCCATGCTTACTGGATAAGGAGGAGGTGGAGGAAGTTGCCTATCGCTATCGGTCCGTGGTGGCGGAGGTGGTGGAGGCATAGTAACGTAATCGCAATCAGAATCCATCGAATTACTGATAGTTTTTCGAGGAGGATAACGTCCAACTATTAAGTCAGAAAGTTCATCGGCTGATAATAAAGGTCCAACACTGGAAGGATCACTGCCGTCACCTCTGAAGCTCCCTGCGCTGAGTATACTATTGCTCCGTGATCTAGAATCTTCGAGCTGCTGATCCAGAGAAACACCCGACATGGTAGACACAACATTACTAACATCTTCATCACCTTTACAGACACTGTAAATGGGTTCCTGATCTTCTGTACCAACATCTTCTGTGTAGACGTCGCTTGTTTCGGACCTAAGACCACTGTGAATGGTATAAAAACCGGACGTTACGGAAGCCTCGTCGGTTGTAGACTGAACGGAACTTAAGGCACACACATCGCTCGCTGCAGAAGATCCATTGGCATCACCGGTAGGTGAGTATAAATCTCCCATTCTTTCATCTTGCATTTCACTGCTCCTTAGTGTATATACTCCACTGGTTTCACTTGCAATGTCGGTACCTGAAAGAGAGTATCTTCATGAAACAAAGTACAGATTAAGCTACAGTTCAAAACTAAGTTTATTGACTAAGATCTAAAGATCGTTCACGTTTTTAAATGATTTTTTATGCAAAATTTTTCGCAAATTCATTTAATACTATTACCATTTAAACTTACCCGCATATTTTCCACCTTTTTTGCACCTATCATAAATTGCGCCAGGAAAACTAGCGGTTTCTGACGAAACCGCTGAATTCTGTGCCGTATGCGAGAAACCGAGTTCCAGACTGGAAGTCGCGGATGTGCGTCGCATTCGCGGCGGTCCACCAGCAGGTGCATTTACAACTACGACCGTGCTGCAGCTGCTGCTACATTGTGACCCTTCGGCCGCTGTGGCTGCGCTTGATGCCAATCGCAATGCAGCCGTCGTAGGAGTACTATCCGTACCATCAACTTCTGAAAATTACAAGATTACTTGTAAGACTATACAATACGAAAGTGCCAATTAAAAGTATGAAATCATACGATAATACCAATCCCTTGTTAATGATTTGTATGTATCTTTAAAACTTGACAGTTTTACATCCAATAAAATTGTAGTTATTTTATAGACATAGGAATATAGATAAGGATATAAGAACTAAGGCACGAAATAAGTATAAAATAAGCATTAATATAAATAATTTCTACATGTGCAGAATGGAAGTAAGTTTACCATCCACAGTAGAAACTGGGGACGACGGTATGGAACGGTCCTCAACGTCTGCATTCGAGCCGTTCACAACACCGCATTGAACACCAGAGTGCGAAGTATTTTCAGTAAGACGTGGCAGACATTCAGTCGAAGCAGGCGCCGTGTCTGGCTCGTCCTCGCTGTGAACCCGGTCGCTGACAATTCCAGAAGTCGTGTTGGACGAGGTGCTCGAGATAACAGAAATTCGTTGGTCACCGCGCGCCCCGCGTGCCGTTAAACTCAACTTGCATCGAGCAGGATACATGTAGCAGTCGCGAAGTACTTTCCTCTCTAAAGTTAAAAACAGAACATTAATTTGGCAAACATCAATTTTGCCTATTCACGATTATCAGGTTGTCACGTCATTAACCATAGGTAAACAGTGAGGACTGAGCGAGAATCTAAATACAAAAGCGTAAAGGAAAAGCCGAAAGAATAAAGTGTCACAGAAAAAGAAACAAAAATTCTGTTACAATGGTGAATGTATCTGGTAAGTTGAAAATGCTTTTCTATGAACTTATGTGTAAGCTTTAGTAGAGATACTAAAAATTACTGAATTTCATCCACATAGATTTTATTAACTGACCTTCCTCTTCTCGTCTCTTCGCTTCATTTACTCTAGGTGCTATGGCCATGGAGAACTGATGGGTATCTCTACAGAGTCCCAGAAGCAGTTTGCTTTTGTCATCACATCCACTGTAGAGGGTGAGTTTGTCCGGCTGATCGACTGCGCGTATCTCAAACTTCTTACGCTGTATGTAAAGGAAACACAGCAGATCAGAAGAAATCCATCACAGAGTCTTTTCTCAAGATTAACAAGGTCAACAAATCCCTAATTCAACAATGCGATTGAAATTAATTTACAAAGTTAAAGCTAAATGACAAATACAAAAATGAAAGGTAACTTGAACAAGAAATCACAACTCTAGGCTATACATGAAAGAAAAACTAAGAACATGGAACTTAAGACATTAAATTGGGATAAAAAGAATTTGGATTTAATTATAAAATGGAAAGTCACGGATGAAAGATCGAAGAGAATAAAATAGTAATGGAAACATGAGACTAACGTCGAAGCAAAGTTTGCCGATGTTGTTCCAGGCAAAGACACGTGGTGTCTCCTCCTCGGCGTAGATTCGCACCCCGCGAGCACATATCGCGAGGAGTATGCGTCCCGGACCTGCCTCGTTCTTGCTTCTTCGCAACCGATAAAGGTGAGCGTTGAGCGGCGCCTCCAGCAGCACCGCCTCCCGGATGTATTGCAATTCTGCCTCCTCCCTTGAGAGACCCCGGTTGTCCCTGTGCTGTGCCGCGAGCACGGCGAGCACATTTGACTCGAGGCACATCTAGCCAACATAATCATTGATTACATTTAATAAAAATCCGACTACTGTTTCTGCAACGCGTTTTTCAACAGAGCTCGCTTAGATGAGCAGAAGTTAAATCATCTAGCTTGCTTCCAGCAGTCTTTACGATCGAGATATCGCCATGAATAGGTCTACATTCCAGTGAGTGAACCTCGGAAAAACCGATATCAGCTTTCAATCGAAGATCCAAGATTTATGTTTACCCGACCACGAAACGAAACGAAATCAGAAGTATCGTAAAATAATTTTAAAATGCACGGTGTTTCCGTCTGTCGATATTTAGAAAACTGTGATTTCCTGTTTCGAATATTTAGTGCGCGTAGGTAATTCCGATAAGAAATAGGGTATAGTAGAACTCTACTTATCCGAACTTATCTGGGGACAAAACAGTTCGGATAACTGAATCTTCATATAATATTGCTTATTGCCTTTGTTATTTATAATTATTCGTTCAAATAGGCAGAATTCATATTCTGGTTAGAATAGACACTTGTCCACTGTGTGCATTTATATAATAGCAATAACCCTCGATGATAGTTTAACACGTTAAACGCCAAGCCGGTCCCTAGGGACCAGCACTAGACTTCTCGTACGGCTCGGAAGGGCCCGCATAACGACTAACTGTGGCGTGAACGGAACGGCACGTAAAACCGGCGTGGCGTTTAACGTGTTAAATAATAAGAGCATAATAAGAGCTCAAGCTCTGATCATGTACAAAATACTAGCGCAAAGAAGGTAATATAAGAAAAAGCGAATCAAACTACACAGAACTTTCACAAATCCGTGAAACTTGATTACCTTCTTTACACTGCTTCCAAGAATTCTCAATTACAAAAAGAACTTGTAATTGTTTCAAAAAATGTGCAAAACTGCAAGTCATCTTTCTGTAACTGTTCCCAGACATTTATACCATTCGTCGGTAACCCCTTTTTGGTGTGTGCAAAATTTTCCAAATTCTGTCAATTAATTTTATGCGATATTTACTATTTATTATACCGTTGTAGGTGTTTTGTGTAAATAAGAGACTTACGTGAGGCGGTAGGTAATCCGTGGGCTTGCAGTATCCCACAGGTCCTGCGTGTGGCCTGTGCCGCTCCTCGGAGTAGTCCCCAAGATCGGCTTGTAGGGCAAGACCCGCGAGTGTGAGCAGGGGCGTAACGATAGATGGTTCATGTAGGGGATGGTGAGGATGGAGGCTCTCCACCCCACCGCCATGCCTGACGACATTGTCGCGCAGTTGCAGGTAATAGTGGTGACGCGTCGTTTCATCGCTGAAATGGTAATCAAATGGTTAGCTGCTTCTTCGTTTTATACGATGAAATAAGCTTATATTGAGCCAGTTTTTGTATAAGAAACGATACGTTGAGAACAAGTTCTTGCTATTAATTGATACGATCCAGGCTCTTTTACCTCTACGATGCCATAGATGCAGTATAAAAAAAAAGTCATAAAATATTTTGATAGCTAGTGCAGAAAACGAGCAAAGTGAATATGGGGTGACTATAAAATATCTAACGTAGCATCGAACAAATTGGAAAAAAATTGATATCAGAGGATGTGAGAGAGAGAAAAAGGTTTAGGTTTTATGAACACTGAATATGAATATACTTGCCATAGTCATTACAACATTTTATATATGCGCATCTATTTTTTAATATTTCGTTACTTATCATGCTTGAGGAGGTATCATACAGACACCTTTGTTAGAAATTAAAATTAATATTAAAAATTATTGGGTAATTAACACATCGAATAATCATTATTTACCTAATGCAGTATTATAACATGATCGAATAACGTAACGGTATTTGCATTTTGTTACTATCAAATTTTCATCGATAAGAAGTTTCCTTCCTTTCCCACAAAACCATTTCTCGTACAATAAAACATGATTAATACGATTGAAACATGATAAAATATCAGACGAGTGAAAAGATTTAATAGAAGTATATATTCAAGTGGAAGAACGAAATTTAATTATTTACCAGTGCAATTCATTACATCGACAAGAATGCCAGAAGCATTGAAGATACTTTTTCATCAGAGTACGACCGATACACTGGCAAGAAGACACAGGAAGAGAACATTTGGTAATTGTGAGAAGCATACCTCACAGAAATGGTATTATTATTATTAATTATGCAAATAGCTTTTCGCGATTCACTGCTATCCGTTATACGGAATATTCGTATGGTGCCATACTTCACATCATATACATTTACAAGGAAATGCACACTATCACGCGAGAATATTCAGATACTTGCTTCTCTTCAACAGGATACAATTTAATTATGAAATTATAAATAAAAGAGACAAAAATTGTTCTTATCCCCTACTCTTATTATAACTGTACATTACAAGTTATGACACGATTATGTGAATATTAATTTTTTAAAAACACTATTCAATAATGTCCAATAAATTATATTGTTTAAAAAATTTCTGATTAGAAAATCATTTATTTATCGAACTATCAATGAAACGAAGAAAATTCTACGTTGACAAGGAGACTATATACCAGTGTATAAGTCGACGAATAACGAATATGATGTTAATGTATTATTGGTGAGTGTGTGAGTAAATAACTTAAATTTTTCATTCGGCAGTGTTACAAACAGATGATAAGATGATTTTTCATTATTAGTTTGTGATTACTTTATCTATTTTGGAAACAGCCTTTTCTTTTTACTACACATCGATTAACCCTTTGCACTTTAGAGACGACCCCTACTCTCTATTTAATCAGATTCTAAAAATCGATGTTAATTAATATATCAAATTTCAAATTACCCAACGATACGTGGAATATCGAAGTAAAATAATTCTACGTCTTAATTTGTATACGATTTCTTATTTTACCGTTTTAAAAATATCATTCACTTGATAGAAAGTCTACTATTTTTCTATAACGAAACAATCGTCAAGTGCAAAGAATTAATATATTCAGACAGTTACGCGAAGTGTATACGATAGAGAAGCATAACCTGGCGCCATCAGCGAACCGTTGAAAATACTAAATATCTACTCACTATGTTACCTACATTAATACAAACAGTGATACCCATCGGTGTCGATTCGTTAATTCGTAGAAATAAGAAATTGAAATTAATTAAACTAAAATTGATATATAATTAAATAATTTCAGGCATCTTCTTCATAAATTTTACTATTGATCTCAGTTGGAATCAAGTAATAATAAATTCGTGTCCCCTATATAGATATTAAATCAATATTTTAGCTTACACGATTACTTTGTAAACTAACCTATAATTTATTATGGCTTAGTACTTCTACCTTTTCAGAAACACGTTCAGTCGTATTAAAATGCCACAAGAGTTCGAAGATAATTAGAATAATTAAGTTTCTGCTACACTGTACACATTTTCTCAATTTGTCACAGATTATATGATTTATAAGATATGCATATATGGTATACGAAAATTAAATACCTCGAGACAGAACGTTGCAAACAACCTAATACCATGTTATTGCAACGCGTGCTATAGTTAGATGTTACCTTGAATACTAATTATGTCATAAAAATAGTTATTAACAGTTTCGTACGATTAATACATACGTGTCTATTGGATGCAATGGAACGACAATATGAGTCCGATTAACTTCGAAACTTCTGATGACTTTACATATTAAAAAGCACTCTTTACGATTAATAATGTTAAGAAGTTGGAAGTAAACAAACTACGTAATTCGTTCACTACTAAAGTTAATCGACGAATACGATACTTCATGAGCCTTAATTAAAACTCCTGTCACGTGATTCGAGGATTCTCATTACCTAATGAATATAACTAGACGCGACCAGCGCCCTTCTACGGTGAGCCAAAGAATTACGGTCCTACAGAACCCATGACTTACCATATGCCGGAAGGGGTGATATCAAAACAATGATCTAAACACGCATACACACATACAATATAAATATCGTGTATTAAAAAAAAGAAGAAGAAAGAAAAAGTATATAGTGCCACGTAACTATATTAACCTTAAATTATCACTGAAAGAAGACTCAGTACTGTATACCTCCGCAGAAACTATAGTAATTCTGTCTTTGCAAATACAGTAAATGTAACTCCAGAGCGTAATATCTATTTGAAATTTAAGCCTATTCCCTTCTAGAAACAATATAATGCGAAACTTGACTCATATTCATTATCTAATCTCTATTAGGAGAAAAAAGGAGACATTATAAAAAGATTAATAGAAAATCTTGCAATTAATGCATGAGTATATTCAAACAGAAAACACGGATTGTGAGATCATATTGTTTGAATGACCCTAACTTATGTCGCAGATCCGCTTTCAGAAAACTGTCCGTATCTCGAGGAGACGTGCGTCGAAAGACACACGGTCATACAATTTCGCGTAATGATAAACAACGTGCTCTTACCAGGCGGATCTTTCGAGGTTCGCAACGTCACGCTTGATACACTTTGCACGTGTTACACATAACGATACTGACCCTATAAATCTACGGGATAAGTAGTGATTACAAAAGACCCTGCTAAGAAAGAAAATTCCAAGTTTAATTTAACTGCAATTCCTTTAAATTTAATTCCTAATAGCAGGTGTCTCGTAACCTCTCGAATCAATCACTGATGCAAAATAATTTTCTGGGGGGATGCCTTGATATTCTAACAAAATCCTTCCAATTGGACGATTCAATTTTATTTAATAATTTTGCTTTTTAAAGTCATGTCACCTTGATGAAGGGATTCTAAGACTGAGATCGCTTCCTAATTTTTATCAACGAGGATGCAAATGAGTAGCATAGTACTTGATAAGTATGAACGTTGAGAAGAACTTTAATGCAGACTTCGATTGTTGCAGAAATAGGTAATTTGCGAAGTACATAGTAGCAAAGTATGAACGTTGAGAAGAACTTTAATGCAGACTTCGATTGTTGCAGAAATAGGTAATTTGCGTACAAAAGGCAAGAAGAGTGGAATAGAAGACAACTTGAGTGGATGAAGTTAAAAGTTAATGAAAATCACCTAGGGAACAGAAGAATTAACCAAAGATCGAGTCGAGAGCTCGATCGTCCGCGAGTTCTGGCAAGCGTGCTGGTCCTTTCACGAATTAAACCCTCGTCGACGTGGACGTGCGGTGAATGCGGCGTGGCTGGATGTAAATCACGGGTTTCGGGTGGAAATCAGAAAGCAACTACGGATCAGTATAATTACCGGGACGAGTGCTTTCATTTAATGCGTACAGTCTATCTATCACGCGCCACGTAATAATTTATAATTACAAGAGTAGGTAGCACTTAGCTACCGGACAGGAGTCGAGATTTCGTTTCGTGAGAGGGAGATCCCTCCAGCGAACCACCCTTTTTCCTTCCCTTCCTGCTTTCTTTCTTATTCTTTCTTTACAACCTGTCTATCTTGCTCCTCCACTGAAAAGGGCGCTTCTTGTACAGGGTGTTTCAAAATTAAAGATTCCACCGAGTAGCAGGGGCTGATGAAAACGATATGTTCCGTCTAATAAATGTATGTCCGATTTTCCTTTATGGTTCGGTAATACGACTTTAAGATCATATGTTTCGGACGCCAGGTGATGAGCAACCCGTCATACATCATCCTTGAAGTGACGAATTGTGATGATTAATGTAGGGACGTCCTTTTTACTACTTCAATTTATAACACAAGTTGTTAAAACTAGCTATAATATTTTTTTAAGCACAATACGAGGATTTATTATTTACCTGATAATTTCCATATTTATTGTAAATGTGAATTTAAGTTTTCCGATAAATGAAATTGCAACAACTTCTTAGTCAAAATTGCTTAGAAATTAACATTTCTTGTTAATTATTTATGAAATGCTGTTAGAAATACAATGCAATTTCTTGTTATATTTATGCAATATGGGCATGAAACTGCATAAAGATTTCTGGGAGACGATGTGGTGTACAAGTTGCCTGTCTCTAGGGGTCTAAAAAAGCTTGCCTCTTTAAAGCTCTGTTGCTAAAAGACTAAAGTGAGAACGAACATATGTTTATTAGACAAAAAATATTTCTTCCATTATCCCCTACCACCTCCTGCTTAATTAATCTGTAGTTCTGAAACATCCTGTATATGTACCATACTACACGTGTATATACGTTCAACACTGTCAAAATTTTTTCTTTTCTCCGTTTCTTTCCTCCTCGTCATTCTTTCAGCCTCTTTTCAGTTTGCATTCTGTCCTTTTTCTTCGACTATTCCTCTCTCCGTCGAACCTCGGGACAAAGCCAGGAACCCTTATAATCGCGATACATCGAGGCTAGGAAAAAGGGAGCAAAAGGGCGATATAGAAGGCCGGTAGGCTACGCGGGTTTGGCAGTTTGGCCAGGTACGGTGGCACCAGGGGAGTATTTGAAGCGGAACGCTAATTACTCCGATTAATTCTGCAATCCATTTGGGGGCCTGTCCGATGGCTGGAGCGTCCTCGACTAATTTAGCTTCCTACGAGTGGCCAGCCTCTTTCGAGTGAATAATTTGTCAGCCGGTGTAGCCTCGATCCAACTACCGGAGTTTTTATTCGCCCTTACGGATTCGATCTGACGATTCGATTCTAGTTACTTCGTGCTGGTTTTAATGTTGAAACGAACTAGAAGGAATTCGGAGAGGTATTGGGTAATATGTGGTATGAAGGTGAAGTTGGTATCGATAGTGACCGATTCGTGCGATGATTATGTAAACCAACAGAATGTAACTATGTATTGAGAAATCTGGGTGTAACTGTTACCTTAGGAGCAACGGCGTGTCGACGTAGTAGCGAACGCGAAAGTAGAGGACGAAAGCTGGTCTTCCGCTGCTGTCTAGGCCCTGAAAATCATAAAACAAAGATGTTATGATCGACTTTACTTATAGTTGTTTAAATTTCACCCGCTTTATTATTGGATATTCAAATGTTACTCTTGTATATTGCAGTTACTTCGTGAACCTCAATGGCACGAGTTGATTGCTTGTATTGATTGCTCCTATAATTATTAATATCGAGAAAATATCGAGTAACCTTATTCGATAATCAATAGAAAATATGTTAAAGATAACATAAATCAAATCTAAACATTGAGCATTGCGTTTGCAAGTATTTTAATGCAGATTTAATCCATATCAATCACCTCGGTTGGAATTCGATCAAACTGATACCCACTTATCTTTCTCCTTCTGTTCTTATATCGATGCTCATTATTCCACTTCATTAGGCAAGTACGCAGATAAATTTTTAATTGGTCGAGTAATTTGAAAGACACTTCACGTAGAGTTTTCATACTGATTCGATTAGAGTATCGAATTACTCCTATAATAATCAATTATAAATCTTTTAATTACTAGATAATACTATTTTAGCAGCTAATCAATACTATTTAAATATTGTTATTTTAAAATCAAATTCAGGGTACCTTGAGTGTATTAAGTGTTTTAAATTTACTAACCTATAAATGCAACTGTATTTTGACTCCTACCATTATACATTGCTGACCATATAAACAGATCCTAGGAAATGCTAATATCAGTATTCTAAATCAACGCAGAACAATCCCATTAACAATGATGTAAGTCTTACGTTCTCCACGCCGCGTAGGTAAGACAATGACTTGTTTCGATAATTGAATTGTTTTCGCGCGGACTAGAATAAGTAACGTGACACGGCGCGTCGATCAACTAAATCAAACAAGAGGCACCGCTCGTATTATCCGCCTGTTGAATCGATAACACTCGATATCGCCGGGTCCGTTTTGTTCATGACATATTTAACAATTGCGTTCATTCGGATCGTGAACCGCGGCATAAATCTTCACTATACGGCCCTCGCATTTTACTTTATCCCGAAGCGTTACTCACGAACGTTAAAGTCCAATTCCCACTAACGCGCGGCGTGACACGCAGGTGGCGCTTGCATGCATAGAACTATATACGATAGCAGTCTCGACCGTCTAATTCAATTTACTGCATCCTAGATTTATATTTCATCCTTTCGTGACGTATCTATGTATGAATTCAAACGAAATACTCTTTGCGTTCTAAGGGTATCTATACAAGATGTTTATTCCATTAATATTTAATACTTTTTCGTACACGACAGATTCGATAGAAATAAACGAAGAAAAATACGAAGGTTAACCGCTTTTTATACCTGATATAATAATTTGAATAAATTTCTTTAATTTTCAATGGCTCTCGCATAATGGATTGTTTTAAACTGATAGTTATAATCCTTTTCAGGTTACATGAAAGCGGTTGTCGACACGATTTGTATAACCTACAATACAATAGAAATCACCAACGCTGTATTTTATTTCTCCATGAGTCGTCATTATAGATGCGGGATATTTTAGAGACAAATAGATCTAACGTGATTTCTCTCTCTTTTTCGTTTTGATTTATCTGTAAGTAAAACTTAGAGAATGCTGTCTTGTAATGAGAGTATTTGTGTTGAATGCAATTAAAAAATTTGTCTTCTAGGTGTGATTACTGGCTAAATATCACGTCGCTTATGCACTAGTGCGAATCGAGCTTAACTTTAACGACGAAAGAAAAACCGCCACACCACGTGGGCGGAAACCACCAAACCGTGAATATGCCCACGCGTGCCTTCAGACCCACGCGTTTTCAAGCACGGTAGCTACCATAGCCCGTTCTACCGGGAATCGGGACTAAATTCGACCGAGGATCTCCGGCTTTCGGTCCGTGAAACTCGAGACCGCGAGATTCGAAGGCAGATAACGAGACGAATCCGTTGGATTCGGTGTATCCGACAGGTACGACTGCTTCCTATGTTTTTTTGCATCTATTTGGAAATTTTATAGACAGTACTTCATTGAAATAGGTTCTCGATTGCCTATTCCGTAAATTGGGATTAAAAACGTCTACAGTCAGGTATGTATTTACAATTCTCGTTTTACAATTCTACTTAAATTACAAATAATTAGAATACGTGTATATATAAATATTAGTAACGTTATTTACACGTAAATTGATCCTTTAATGAAGTCTTTATGAAAATCATAAACGATATGTTAACAAAATCTTTAACGATTTACAGGCACTGGTTAAGAGCATTTCAACGTTAATATCACCTTTCTTTTATACGGTCTACGATGGTGATCTACTTTCGAGAAGTGTTTAAATCGATGATGAAACCTTCACAGGTATTTCTATCATAAAAACAAGCATAACCATAAACCGCGCTACGGTAGCCTCCCATTTCTCCGAGACTCGAAAACCATGGTTCATTATACGAGAACCTCCAGCATCGATCCGATCCTAATTTCTTTTCACGCACACCCACACCAATTCGATTCATCATAACGGTAGATGCTCTCCATTGAAATTCAACAATCAGAAGGATTTCGTGGGTTTCACCGATAGAAATTAGGAGACGCGCATACACTAATACGTCCTTACTTTTCAGAAGTGTACGGGATGACCGATACATCATCGGACAGAGACAGACCACGATGTGGAAATGGCGGCGGAGGGGAAGAGAAAGGAGTAGGGGAAAAAAGAAAACACCGAGAACAGAGGACGAAGATGGGAGCAGAGGAAGGACGAAAGAGCCGAAGAACGGAACGAGGGGAGACAGGTACCAATAACGAAGCCCGCTCCAAATTCGGTAGCCGAAAATTAAACCGAGAAGGGTTTCTCGGTTATGTCTAGACCTAGACCCTCCGGTCAAATCGTAGCAAATTATACCGTCGGCTCCATCCGCATATTTTACGAACCATAAATATTAATCCACCTCTCGGTGTATGCCTTTCCATCTTCCCACTTCTGTTCCACGTCCACTCTTTGGCTCTCTTTCGTCCTTCCACCTCCTCCTCCCTCCACTCCGCGCCACACATACGTTCCTGGATGGCCCGCGGGTACAGTCGCCGCTAAAATCGAGAGTCTGGGACAAACACTCTGAATTTGCATACACACGATACAGAGAGGCTACTATAAGCGCGTGTGTAGCGTACCAGCTACACCTATACCAACTGCCAGCAACGTGGATGACATTGAAGCTCGCCGTGCTAGCAGGTGTGGCTCAAGCTGATTATTGGACCGCGATAAGTCTTTGTCGATCGAACAGGAATTCGACTGGAGTAATTCTTCTTTTCTTTTTTTTCCTTTTAAAAATTTTTTTTTTTATCGTTGGTGTAGAGTTAGAAACTTTTTGGTGAAATTTTGACGTTCTGTCTTGGTTCATTTCAGTTCGAGATTTCTATCTGATTTTCTGTAATGAGAGTTTTTAGGTTAGGAGTACGACATTGATGTGGGTGAATTTAGAAAATTATTTCGACCGCTTAAGTGTAGACTTAGAAATAGGATTTGATGGTGTAACGTGGTAGAGATATTTCTGTGGCTATTTTTAGATATGGAAAATATGAGGTAACGAGTTCTATGAGAAAGTTCTAATAGTGTGTTTGTAATCATTTCCACGTATATTATATTGCAAATTAAAATTTACTCTGAAATTATGCAATCATAAATTCTGTATTTTCATTTAAATTTTATATTTGAATTTTTAATTTTACCTATGTAATTATTGGAATTTGATTTCTTCTTCTTTGTTGAATTTGTATTCTTTTTCATTCGTATTAAAGGAAGTTCATATCAAATGGTGTAAATTCTTTTCCAAGCTTTGAAATTATATTAATTAGACTTTGCATCATACTTTATCTTTTCCGTCTTTGATAACCGATTTAATTCTCTAATAACACGAAACATAAGAGACAGCTGGGTAACAAACACAGCATTCCATGTCAGAGAATTGAACGGTTGGAATGAATTGCCGTTCAAAATGAATGCGGATACGCTCGTAGATAACGCAACTGCAATTTTGTGCTAATGACAAGGACCAACGAGCGACGCAGCTCAATGCAACAGACAGCATGAAATTGATTATATAGTTGCATTTAACATGGTCCAGTGGCTTCTCGGGACTGTATTGTTGATGTTGACTACTGCCGTTACTTGGCGCCTGGCGTGTTGCCACTTTGTGAGAGCCATCGGGGAGAACGGTAATCGCCCACTTGTACGTATTTCTACAGCATGTTCCACTGTATATAATGTGTGTACACGCGCACCGATAAATCTTGTCCATTAGTAACCAACGTTATACATCACCTCCCGCCTCCTATTTCAAACAATATCTCAATCATTTTTTTCACGAAACACGTGCAGGAAACTATGAAAGAAAACATCGAAGGTTATTTCGTGTTTTGAGTAGGTTCGAAGAATCCAATGTAGTTGTGTAACTTCTCGTTTAGGTTAGGTATCGGAGGGTAATTAATTAGGTATCAATACCGATTATACCGATGAAATTGTTCTATTTGCATAATCTAAAAAAATTTTTCTTAGAATAAATATAATAGTAATATGTAAATAATGTAAATGCAAGTTTAAATAAAGGAAATTTCATCCATTAATATTGGCAATCGAATATGTGATGTTAATATACATACAGACGCTGACATGTATACATACATACGTATTTATACATTGATACACGATCCATTTCACCAACTATGTATTAGATATCCTGATTGCGTGGAGACACCCGTGAAAGCCTGAGTGGGTGTCACCAATGATGTCGAAGAAAATCGAAAGTGCGACATGGCGGCTTCGCGAACGCATCGCGCCATCGGCCCGTACATGTGGATAAATCGAAAAGAATCTATATGTCGATCGATCAATAATACCATTTTCGTTGTTATCGACCTTGATTCATTGACGCCATATATTGGCAAAATCTTATCATCGTAGCTTGGAGGGACACGAAAAGAAACTACTGAAGATGGTAAAAGAAAATGTAGTTCTTATCATTTGCCACAGATGACGTTTGTCTCAATAGGCTTTCAATTCGTATCGATAATGTCACTCGTGCCGAAATTCGCTAACCCGCGATAAATTGTTCTACGGCGCCATCTGGGGAATCTTTTGACATTCACGCGAGGAATGTAAATGCGCGGGTAAATAGAGTAAATTCAAAGTTCCACTAAACGAGGTATGGTTTATAATTTTATTTTATCAATTTGATTATTAATTAGGTTAGTAAGTACTACGTTATTACTAGCGAATAAAAATCTACGAAATTCATCTTACAAATAACGTCGAGTCGAACGAGAGCGTGTCATAATTATAATGCTTTCCTTCTCCTAATCAAAGATTTCCTTCTCGAAACCTTTTGTGGTTACGGGGAGAAAGAGAAAGAGAGACGGTCGTGTGTATAAAGTTGGGATGCAGAAAGCGCCGATAGGGGAGGGGCCCAGTTTTAATAGCCGAGGACCTCTCGCACGGCTGCAGAAAATCCTCGCAGCCGATGTTCCTCCGAGATAAGCACGTAGTCCGGTAGCCCGGTTTTACCGGGCCAGTATTTATTGGTTATTGGTGTGGACCGTCATTAGCGAAACGGGGGTCCCACCGCTCCGAGCAGATACGAAGATATCGCACGAGGCGGCACACTCTGTCTCTTTCTTTCCCTCTCTCTCAGTCGGAGAACCCTTCGATCCGTAATTTCCACTGGTCAACTCCCTGCTGTTCGCCGATCGAACGCGTTGCGCGCTGTTGACAAATTCCTGCGGTTCTGACCGACCGAGGCAAGAGACTGCCCTCTACCGAATTGTTGAAATTTCTCCGGAGGGGAAAGAACGAAGAGCGCTCGATCGATGGAAGGACGTTTAACGATTTGAGGTTATGTAATCGTTCGTGGACAAGTATTGGAATTACAAATGTTTGTATTGTTTACTAATAGCGATGATTCAGAGATGATATATTATTTATTTCTTTCACTTCTTTTTCTTATCTTTAGGAAAGAATATTTTAGGACTTTATGAAATTTACTTTCCAACTTTAATACTTTTCGTACGACGCTGGTAAAGGTATGGTAATCAATGCATTCTTATAACTAAGAACTTAAGAACTTAAGAACTAATCTAAATTCGTCTATACTTATTGTACTTATTGCAGATTATTTCAAGTCGATTAAAATGATACTATATATATTCGTGAAAGAAGAAGATAAATCTGTTTTTCAACGAGTTTTAGACAGAGGAAAAAGAAGGACACCAAAGGTAACCTTAAAACTATACTTCCAATGGAAATAGATTAACACATTGACTACCATGGTGGTCATCAGTGACCGGCGCTTGTCTCCTCAGTGGGGTCATGGTGGTCACTAGTGGTGCCTGGCGATACTAATTTTTTTAATCTATATTTGTTTTATTCTAACCATTTTTTGGAAATTTGAACAACGTAAATAAATAGAGAACTTTGAATAGAAGATAATAATTGCACCATTTTTTTTGGTCATATTTCTAGATAATTCATCGTTATACCGTAAGAATAATGGAAATTTTATCGTGACCTCCTGAGTACCATATAAAAAGTACATGGCAGTCAAAGTGTTAAAGAAATTTTGTTCACAAAGCACAGAAAATTCCAAGATAAACATCATAGGAAACCTATCCGTCAAAGCAGAGGAGAGTCGACCAAACTGATTCACCCCGTCGTAAAAGCGAGCATAGGAAAGGAGGACAAGATAAGTATACTTAATTTCGAAATTTACATACCATTTTCGTAATAAACTTCATCAGAAACATATTCATCAGCAGAGAGATAAGTACGAAGTACGATTCACCCTATGATAACCACTGAATTACGAGAACTTCCTGCACTAAATATAAAAGATATCGGTAATAAAGAGCACCGAGAGGCTGCCGTTCATCAGGTGCGCAGGGAGACCGGGGGCTCCGCTCGGAAGAAGCAAAGCAGCACACCGATGTCCGTGGTGGCGACGACGAGTTGCCGGGGTATATTGCGAAGCTACTCGTCTTGAAGAGGACTGCCGTTGTACGCTCGTTTAGCGCTACCCTCGGGGCAAAACCACGGCCGCCATCGTGCACCCGCGGATGGAAATGCTAATTTGACCGAAGAGGGCCTTCTACGCACCCTTCTCCTTTCGCCGCGAGCATGCTGGCTTCTTTTGCTCTTAAATCGTCTTTTTCTCGATTCCTCGCGGCGAGACGTACCGTTCGAGTTCTCGACCCAGTCGCGTATATACGTTATGCGCGTATATCTACACGGCTGGTGCCTGTGTCATTGCGTAACATAAATTCACAAATTATCGCGATATTCCAAAGATTCGTCCGGAGGGGGAAAAAAAGGAAATCCTGTTTACTTTTTTCTTCCATTCCTTTTGGAAGCGATCGACGCCGATACAATCGATACGTCTATAGACGTAGTCTCTCCTTTTTTTCTGCGCAGAGGATCACGTGAATCATCGAAAATTATTTAAGCGCGTTAAATGAGAATTAACGATCATCGCCCGTCAGGAGAATTCGTTGCTTCATAAATATCGAGATACGCAAGACAAAAATTAAATGTTCTTGTTTGTACTCGGTAATTTAGGGAATATTCGTTTCTGTGTCTCTCTGATGATCTGTAATGATCCACGAAACTTTCCGCTTACGTTTCACGTTAGATAATAGCCACAAATTACTATTGTATTTTCTATTTTAATTAACGAGAAACAATTTTTGTAGCGAAAAATTATTTTAACACCGAGTTTACCAGATCAGTTGCAAATATTTTACTCTTGCGATTGGTAAAATATTCTGCTGCTAATTTTGACGATGTTAATATTGACCTTTACCGGTGCAGAACTATTGCGATACGAATTAATTTACAATTAATTTACCTCCATCGTATCACTTTCATTACTATCAACGTGTACAGAACACTTAATTACAAATTACAAGCCGTCTCTCGGTGTTAAAATGCTTCGTCAGATCGATATCATTTTCATTCAAAGTTGTTTAAAACTTTAGTGCAACTCATAATGCAACATTTATTTGTGGTACGAAGCGTTTAATTAAGTACTAATAAGGGAAATAAGAAGAAACTCTTAATTATGCTAATATAATTCACGGGAACGTTATTTAACGCGCCGACCGTGTCCCTGTTTTTAAAATTATATTTGACTGCCCCATTTAGTCTCCTAATAAAAACGATAAGTACGATAACAAACTCGTTTAGAGACCATAGCTTACATTATTCTGATACCGGTAGAAACGTTAACGACGAATATAAAACGGGTTATCAGGGATTTTACATTGAGCGAAGGTTGTCTCTGATGACGTTGCTAGGATTGTTAAAGCATCAAGTAAAACAATTTTATCGTCTTACTCGAACGATTAGGCAAAATAATTCGGGAAATTATACGAAACAACGTTCGGGGACGATCTTTTTGTTTCCTACCGTGAAACTCGTCTCGTTTTTAAATGCTTGCGCATAATTCCATGGACGTATCACATTTAGTTGACGACACGCTCAATGCACATCTGAATCATCTAAACCTGTGAATTCCACAAGTGTGCATTATGCGACAGAGCCTTGGTCAAACGATAATCGTGTTATCGTATAATTCGCATCGTATAATTGGTTTCCTGCTCGTCGGAATGTCGTAACAAGATTGAAATAGATATTTTGGAATACGGTATTCCACGATCACGTTTACCAAGAATTATCCGAACGCTTTTAACCACGTTGTATAGTAAAAAATCGGATACTTACGTATGTATGAGAGCTTCGCCAGTTTTTAGGTGCGTATTTGCTTAATTTATTCTCGGGATCGACGAAGAGGTACTCGCCGTCTGAAACATTGAAGAATAATTATTAATAATTAGCGTTAGTAATTAATCAAATTACGCATTCCTTTACCTCGCAGAAACGAAATTTAATTTGCCAGTTTCGTGTATTCCACCGATTAGCGGAAATCGTTAACTTCGAATTCAAAGTATAATTCTATATGCCGATTCCATAAATTTCCGACGTTTTTGTTAGGTTAAATATTCCTGATATATATGCATGTACGATTATCTAAATACAAAACAATAATTATCGTTATCTTCCATTATCTTATAATTACAAAACAAATGGTAATCGGTGCAGACGAATATACGTATTTTGAAACTGTGCAAAAGTTTTCCCAAGTACTTTTATAAAGAATGTCTTATGTCGAAAAATTTCTTCTTAATTAATATATCATTCGTATTAATTATTTGTGCTTTTAGGGACGGCCTGTGCTTCCTCATTTCTTCCCACTTTCGAGATAAATCTTTCTGTTTATCTTATAAATGTATTTAGTTTACATTTAAAATTAATTAATAATATTTTTACCTATTATCGTGTAATAAAATTTGAATTTTTCTAGAGCCAAATGCCACGAGAGTGCAATTATACGAGCACACAGACGTCCTCGCAGATTTAACACCTATTTTCTCATCACAAACCTACCATAACATTCATTCGCTTCCTGGAGTTAAATTTCTCAAAATGATTTTTCAAACCTATCTAATTCGCGTTCGAAATTAATTAATAAGATTTGTTCCTGCTGTAATAAACTACTAGAAATAAATTTCGAATTTTTCTACGCAAAGTCAGTCGTCACGAGAGTCTAATTACACAACCATTCCTCATCCTGTGCTAAAATAATCCAAAAAAGCCATTTAATCCATGGAAATAAAATTCTCCCAACACTAGACGTACTGACCTGTAATGTATGCATTAAATGTAGCACATCTAACAAATAGCAGCGAAGATTGCCTGATGAAAAAGATAACTATGTATAATTACGTACCTACTTTAATAACGGATAATATTGACTCAATTGAGAATAATTCCATGTTTCCAATAAATATAAAAAGAAAAAATTGGTAGTTTAGTAGATCTAGCGTTAAAATTGGCCTAAAGTTGCCTGCCCGGAGCGAGTGTTTCTCGAAATGCCAGTGGCGAGCGGTGTCCAGCAGTCCGGTTGACAAATTAATTTTATCGGTAGCGACGGTGTTCCTTTATTATAATCACGGAGCAAATACAAGGCTGGCCGGTGGAACGGCTCGGGCCCGCGACATTCGGGGACTTCGGTCGGGCCAAATGGGCCCGTACAAAGGCCGCACATACGCGTTCACGGTGCCCTGATATGGTCGTTGCGTGGAGCCCGGAGACCCATTCTCCTCGCTCGACTTTTTGCACGGCTGATGGTCCGAAATGCCGATACCCCTAAACGAGCGAAACAATGAAAGAGCTTGTCGGCGAGGAGATGTTCGTGAATGAGAGAGCCCCCAAACCTGTCCTGCCCACATGGGGCCAGACACTCGGCTCCCAGACCCTCATGGCGCGACAACGCGACGCGCTTTCCGAACTGGAACTCGATCTGGAACCTGGAACTGGGCCCCCTTTGCGCGCCACGATCATGCGCTAGGCGCTATGCAGCACTGCGCATGTTCGCCGCTGTTGCTTGCTCTGGAAACATGTCCGAGAACGCTGGAATTAGATGGCTAGAAAGTCCGATGGAATCGTTGGAAAGTCGTGTAACGAAACGATATGCGCGGGAATTGCTTTGGAGAAGGATGAAATTGTTATGCGTTAATGGATCGAGCTATATCGATGAAACGAGATTCAGCTGGTGTATACCATAGAACACTGGGAACGAGATTAACCCTTTGAGCTAAAGTAACGAGCTCTCTGAATCGAAGGTGATGATTGCAAGATAAACTGATCGCACACATTTTAACATGCACAGGATTCGACGAATTTCTATAAGTTTCATCTAATTTTATCGTAAATGGTATTGGTATACAGTGGTTAATTAAATTCAAGTACTATTTCCATGTTAAATTCTTCGTAATTAAATCGTTGCGCAAGGAATCGAGTAGTCCTAACCTCTTAGCTCGTAACGACGAGTGGCACTCGTATTAGGGGTTGCAATTTCAGAAGATCATTTCGAAATTGGAACTTCAGTTACTGCTCATCACAATGGTGATTATTCAGCAAGAATTGTGTGAATATTTTGATATTATCACAGAAAAGTCTTATAATTGGAAATAATTCACTAGAGTAACTCCTGGAAAGATAATTTCGTACTTTTCTGACGGATAACATATCTACGCCAACATATTCTCGTTGAATTAAATTAAAGCACAAAAAGCCAGGCTTTATATAGGAAAATTAGATTGGAATGGATCCGACTAATAGAACTCAAAAGGGTTAATTACGGAATAATTCTGACCTAGTTACTTCGCATTTCCTTTCGATTTAATACGCTCGCGGAATAAAGCGAAAGATAGGTTATCTCTTGTAATAAAATTCTTACCTTTGATATAAATATACATATACATACAGATGCGGCACGTGGGACGAAACGTGTCAGCGTAGAGGTTAACCTCGACGGAGCAAGACCGCACGTGACAAGGAATAACGCGTACGACCTAACCCGAGCGAACCTAACCTCAATCCGGGAAGCAATGCGGGTTATAAACGGCGATTCCGCGCATGACAATTATTCCGCATGCAACGACGTGGTCTTGTACCGAGCGTTGAACAGTTTCCAGCGAGCAATTGGCGCAACAATTGGTCGAAAGGGGTTGCCGTTTCACAGAAGCGTCGCGAAACAGTTTTCACGGAACGCATAAACCTCGCAGCAACCTATAAAGGATGCCGGGGAGATGTCAGTGACCGAAACTGCTCATCCCGTTTAGATCCCGTCTACCATTATCGGCGGAGCCGCAATAAAATACGTTATCGTGACGCTCCTTCATCGGTAAAACCATAAACCGTACGAGAAGCGTATACCCGTGCAGCGTTTCGTATATATACAGTGTAGAATCATTATAGGTTACGTTTCAAACATCTGCTCCTCAATAAAACTCCACGTCCTGAAGCCGGTCCGGGTAGTGTCGTTCGTGTTCGAACAGCCGCGCCTCGATTCTTCTCTCCACTCTCTCTCCTTCGCTCTCTCCCCACCCCCTTTTCCTGCTTCCCCTTCTCCTTCTCTCTCCTTCTCTCTCTATTCGCCTGCACGCCGACTCTCGCTCTTTCGCTCTTTCGCTCTTTTTCTCTCTCCCCCCCCAGTCGAGGATTCTCGGACACCCTGTATTTAGCATATTTCGATTTGCCCGAGATACACTGAGCCGTCCACCTCGTCGACGTCCGGTGCCACGTGTGGCATGCTGCCTTTCAGACACGAAGGAGCGGATCGAGCCACATTCCGCGGTGGAGCCGGCCAAGGATGAAAGAAGAAGGAGCCGGGGGGATGTAATGCACTCTCCGCGGTGAAGAGGCCCAACCCGGGCCCTCGCCGACGTCTCTCCGCTTTCCTTTCTGCTGCCTTCCCTCGGACGGTAAAAGAAGAAGAAGAGGGAAAGACAGAGGGAAGGGAAGCAGCGAGACCGGAGCAGCAGGAAGAAGAAGGAGAATAGACGGCAAGACGACGAGGAGAGACGAAAAAGAAGAAGCGCGAGCAGAAGAAGAAGAGGAGGAGGAGGAGGAGGAAGAAGAAGAGGACGAAGGACGAAGAAGGGAAGAAAGATGAAGGAAGAGAAGAGGAAGGTTAGGGCAGATGGGAGAAGAAGAAGGTTGGGGGTGGCGACCTAAGAAGGTCAGAACATCGTATTTCTTGCGGCCGGCAAGAGAGTCAGCAGCGTCATTAAAAAGAAAAGTTCGAGCGGGCATTGTAAGGCGGCCCGAAACCCACGAAAAATGTACCTCGAATTACCGTCCTTCGAGGCCTTTCGACGATACCGCGAACACCGCTTTTACTACGACTCTGCCAATCTTCGAATAAAAGCCCTTCCTCCTCTCCTTTCTCCTCTTCTTCTTCTTCTTCTTCCTCTCTTCTCTGACACTCTGTTTCCTCTCGAACGCGACGATATTTACGAAATCGACGAGTCCGTCCTCGTCTGTTTAGACTCTAGGGCTCCCCCCGGTCCAGGTGTCTCCCAAGATCAACTTTCTCCGAAGTATCTGTACCCAGACCTCGAAACGATTCGAATTTCTTAAGGTAGCCGGGACATCCCTTCCAGATAGGATGCCATCGAGCCTTCCCAATGGATGCGAACGATAAGACCCGCTACGAATGCTAGATACTCCTATCCTCTTCCATCTTGCCCACTTCCCGATCCTTCCTACCTGCACGTTCGCTGTACTGTCTCCACTGACACATATACGAGCCACGCAAGCAACGCGTTAACTTCCCGAGCCAGATTTCATCTTAGCATCGTGTATATAGTTCAGAGAAGTGATCGAAGTTTCCCCCATTCCCCCGTTCCCTTGTTCCACATTATCTTTCTCTCGGGGCCCGGAGTAGCCCGTAAAAGTGGATGCCCCCGTTGCCTGTTTAACCTGCAGTACTCTTCCCTTTCCCTGCACCCCACACCCTCCTCTTCCAGCAGCTACTAGCATTCCCCGTTTTTGATCCCCGGAATTGGCACCGGAATCGTCGAGGGAAGAGATAGATGGATGTATCCAGCGTGGCCGGGGGACCGAGAAAGTCGTAAGTCAGCTCCGGAGTTCTTTCGTTGTGCGATCTCTCCCTCCGTAGCCGAGGGCACCTGTGTTACCCGAGGTATAACCCGACTATTACCGGGGAATGTTGCCCGAGGGCTAACCCTGGCCCTCGTGTAACCAACCATCGGGGCCCATGGGGTCCACCTTATCCCACTAGAGATTCCCTCCAGTCACGGACGAAGCAAGATCTTACGTCGTTCTATCTTTCTTCGTCCCGCTTCCCTTTCGTCCTCCTTTTTGTCTGTCTTCGAACCCATTCCTTTCCTCTTTCTCCCTCTCTTTACCCCGTCTTTTTTTCCTTTTCTTCCTT